ACACACACACACACACACACACACACACACACACACACACACAAAACAGCTTGAGGGTGTAGAGCTCATGATCACTCGCAGATAAAGTCAACGCACTTACCAGGTCCAGAGCCGAACCTCCTCCCAGATATTCCATTATGATCCATAGTTTACTACCCTAAAGGAAAAACAAGACATTTAGATATGAACTCAGAGGTAGGAAAGCACTGAAAAATGTCAATTATGACCAACTGTGTAAAAGCTCTGATTCACTGAGTGAGTCAACTCAAAAGTGAGTTTCGTAATGTAATCTTTTTGTCTGACTTTTGTTGCTGGTACAGGAAACACTGGCAAGCATGATATCTGATGAATATATCATCACATTTTATGAGAGAAGTAACTATAATGGGATTATGACATATGTCAGAGGAGTGAATGTGAGATCACTGGCAATCAATCTCTTATTAGTTGACACAGCTTTTGTTTTTCCTTATTTTTTATTAACTTGTCCTTCTGCTTTCAAACTGTAGACCAAAAGTTGTTGCTGTTGAAATTGTAATGTATGTTTATATTTAAAAGCTTTCTCATGCACAATGTATCGCATACCCTATATTTACGCTGTTGTTTTGTTTTATTTTTATTCAGCCTTCAATTTGGATGAGACCACTGGCCAAGATATGGTATTTTCTTTTCAAAAGATACAGAAGAAAACGGCTTTTTTATTCAATTAATTAAACTAAGAAATAATCAACCTATCAGAATAAGTATTAGCAGCAGCCTTACTTAAATATTAGAAATACAAACATCTTAAAACAACAGCATGTAGCCTTAAAATATTTCAAGATGAACAGGTTCACCCCAGAATGAAAACTCTTTCACCCTCATATAATTCTAAACTTCTGACTTGCTTTCTCCTGTGAAAGACAAAAGAAAATATCTGAAGAATCTCTCAGTTGTTTGTTCATATTATGAAAGTCAATTGTGACCCAAATAAGACAAATACAGCAAAGCCTGAAACACTGACTAATCTCACTGGTTCTTGCATGTATATTGTCGATATTTGACAATATTTGCTTTGAAAGTGCATTCAGAAAACTTAAAATACACCTGTTTTGAGTTATAAGGATTTTCACTCAGCCTTTATGCAATTTTTGGGGCATTAATTTACTGGGTTAAACTGACTTTCATAATATGTACAAAACTTCTGTTGTACCATCCCCTTCAGATAACTTTTGTATCTTTTTGGAATGATATTAAGGTGAGTAAATTATGAAAATTTTCATCACAGTTCCACAGTAAAATTCCAGATGGTTAGTATTATCGTTCCATGTTTTAATTATGATTAAAATTGTGTTTGAGTAAATATGTAAATATGGTCAAGTGCAAAATGCATGTGCAGCATTAATCTTCCCCATACGTCACGTTATATATTGAGAACACTACTGTAATAGAATGGGTATAGGATGTAATAGAATAAAATACTATGTTTTTGTTGTGTGTGTATTGGATTAATCTCATATAGGATGCAGTCTGGTTGAGTTAATTAACCCACTACAAAAGCAATTCAATTACAGGCAATGCCCAACATTATTGACTATAATTGGATTATCTGAAACAATAACATTCCATTTAAATGTTCCTTTTCAAAAACACAGATACATTATTAATAATCCAGCAGTGATATTTTTTTCATCATATTACGGGAAGCAGTATGTATAAATTGAGTTACTCTGCATGGCTAAAAAAACATGCAGCAATGTCTGGAAGAACTTGATATGCAAGATGTACAGTGCGCCAAGCTGTCATATACATAACACTATCATGAGAACACTACTGTAATACAACGTTGTGAATTCTTTGTGTTTAGTTGCCTGTGTTTTAGCGCATTGTTACGGAAAGAGTGCATTCATAACAGGAGTTACACATTCTGACTAGCACATCATTTAGTTCAAGTTCACTTGTGCATTTCACAGCATTTTGTGTAGATTGAAAAACATTGTAATATATTTCTGTTGTGCATGCATGTAGCCTATCGGTTTAATTTAATAGAGGATGCAGGTTAATTAGTGCTAATTAACCCAATAGTGCCTTAGTTTACCGACTTGATCATCTGAAACAATCATAGCCCTTAAATTCTTCTTTTTCAAAAACACTGATGATGCATGATTAATAATCTAGCAGTGTTATTTTTCTCATTATATTGTCATCAACAGTATGTTTTAATTCAAATCTTCTCATTATCACCATGATGTACATACTCCTCTGTTTTACTGATACATCGAGTCCTTGAAAGGATAAAAATGCACTTTGCTTTGCTTAGCTAAGGTTGTGTTCATTTAAACCTGCACTAAGTAAGGTTTACCTCATATGGTCACATGGTGCTATCTTAAATATTAACAGTTAATTTATTAACAGCACCACCAGTATTTAATAATACTATAACGATAATAATTTGTCACTATAACTGTGATATGAAACTTTCATCTCTAAAGAATGTGGATGTTACATGATGAAAACAATGCATTGTTATTTTACATTTGGTGACTTTATTCAACTTCTGAAGTATTTCTGTCCTGAATACTACCATTAGACCGACCTAAAAACTTTAAACACTGTTTATTTCATTTGTATCTCTATTGTAGTATTGTAGTATAGTATTTCTATTGTAGTAACATTTGTTTGTCTGTTCTTATTTTATTACTGACTATTTACTTGTTTTCAACCATTGTTAAACTTTATATTAGTTCATATTTTATATTTTAATATGTGGTATTGAAATTGAAAATGTGAAAATTCACTGGTATGTAAAATGTTGGTGTTGTAACAACTATTACATAAGTAAAAAAAAAATCTGATCACCACAAAATTTGCATTTAAATGTGTGTACACAATTTTTCTCGCACATAATGTGATTTATTTTATTTTATTTTTTTAAATAAAAAAAATGCAAGTCTTTCAATACTGAAGATGTTTTAGCAACATATACAGTATAATGACACACACTAGGGGGCTCGTTAATTCACATTCTCCTAGTGTCTTGTTCTGTTAATGTGGTAGTATCACATGGATGGGAATATGCATATGGAAATTATATGCATATAAGGTAATGCATAGTGAAACTAGGCATTGCAGGCACCATATAGCCTATGGTTATTTTGGGGAGGAAACAAGATGGGAGAAAAGTCTTGTGCATGTATGCACAATTTTTAACTTAAAAAAATTATAAAGTGAATATTGTGCAGGTTTTAATGCACATGTGGTTTTATCAATCTGAAAACTGTGTACGCAAAATCTACTTTATGTCCATTACGCACACTTTTAGTTGTAATCTGCACGTTTCATACACAAGGCCCCTGTTCTTTTTTTAACTTGATACTTAACAGTGATGCAGACTTGACATCATTTGTTGGAAACAAACACTGGCCATCGATGCACACAGACACACAAAGCGGCCAGACAAAAAGCACACGTTCTGTCTGGCAGCCTTCCAGAAATACAGGTATTGTGACATAGCACAAAGGGTTTGGCCATGAGTCACCAATGGCATCAAATCTTTACAAACACCTTCCGAACTCCCCATTAAAATATATCCTCAGCCCTCTTTTGTATTTATTTTAATCCAAAGGCAACCATGCGTACTGTGCACGTACTAGTGTTACAAACAATGCACAGCACTACAGTGCTATGATAATATTGTGCTACTCATGCCTCAAAAAACCTGAGGCTGGGAACAGAGAACCGGTGCTTATCTAGAACAATACTAGAACCGTGCGTAATTCTTAAATTTTGGTTCCGAAAACAGTTCTGGTGCGACATCTGGGCAAAGAGCTTATCCTTTAATGGTGATATGGACTAGTGTCTGTGAATATTAAAGCGCAAAAAGACTGCTATGTGAATGAAGTCCGCATGTTCTGTGTGTATGTGTGTGAATGCTTGGTGTACTACACATACTGAAGACTATTCATTTTTTTTCTTTTCAATTAAAAATATTAAGGAAAATTATATTAATATTTAATGCTTTTTGTTTTTATTACTTACTGTCAAAATATTTTAATAGAATGGTACTATCAACAAATTCAAAATATAGTATTTTACAAATTTTGTTAAACTAATCCATTTTTTCTGAAGCAAAATCAAAACTTAACCTATTTAACCCTTGAATTAATTCCTATCCGATGATAAAGAATGTGCAACGTACAAGTAGCACAAGGGCTTTTCTGTGCTGAATTCCATTCTCGATTCCATTCTAATGGTTTAATTAAATTGTAATCATTAAAAAGTATGTCTAGCCAATTAATTTCATAAAACAAAAAAAAATTTAACAATAAGAGGGGCCTTTGAAAAGTTTTTTTCCCCAAATTCTGTGTTGTCCATTTAAATTTTTCTGTATGTCAATTTTTTTCTGGATTAAAGATTTCATACAAATGTAAAATCAAAACTAGTGGTAATCAAATGAATTCATAAAACTATAACCATTCAATCTTTTAAAGTGAATGAAAACAATTTACAACAAAATATTGCATTTCTATTATTTATCAACTTGCTGTAATAGAGGCTTACCATATAAATTAAAACATTGTATTATGTCATTTAAAAAAAAAATTAAACTGAACATTTATTTTGACGAGTTGTCTTGATACAATAAGACTATCTATATCCAAGTTTTTGCAAGAGTGCAGAACTCTGTAAACTTGCGCTGAACTGAATTGATTATGAAGGGAGCTGTATACAACCCATTCACAATTTGAATGAAATTTGTTCTTTTTTTAATGCAGCACGCAGTATAGTTTCAGGAGTGACATCCGTATTTAAATATTAGATTGAATCTAAAACTGCAAAGACTGACATAGTGATCATCATAGCAACGGATGAGACAAAAACTTGACTTTTTACAGCAATATTTACTTAAAAAACATTCGAAGGCTACATGCTGTTTTAATGTATTACTTGCTTATTATTATCATTAATAATTAACATTTAATTCATTTTTTTAAAAATTGGTCTCAGATAGAGTTCCAGTAGTTTTTGCTATACCAACAACCGAGGAATTTTACTGTTATTGGCACCAACTACTGACATTTTGTTATTGTGACAACACTACTAGCACAGCTAATGTGTGGAAAAAGTCAAAGTCAATCCATACCTTTAAGTAAGAGCCATAGTATTTGGTGACATGAGGACTATCACACTGGCTGAGTACAGTGATCTCCTGTTGGATGTCTTCGATTTCATCTTCTGCCTCCTCAAGATCGATGGTCTTGATGGCCACTACGTTCTGAGTGCGGCGGTCGATGCCTTTGAACACCTCACCGAACGAGCCCTTCCCGATACGCTCTAGTTTAGTGAACAACTCCTCAGGGTCTGTTCGGCTGTTCTGGAATACAAAAGTTACAGAGTTAGTTTGAGTTGACTAGATTAGGTAGTCAGCTGATTAACTATATATCTCAGGTAAATTTGCTGTAATCACATATTTGGAATGCAAGTTTATAGTATAAAATAAGACTATTAACATAAAATCTCTGATATTCAACACTAAAAGACCTATCCCTTTCTTTATAAACCATGTGTTTCACTGCACCAAAAACATATACAGTTGCTTGATTATTTTCCTTCAGTTTTACAAAAGGCTCAACAAGGAACAATGAAGATCAAAGACAAGTAGTTCGTAAGTGTTTATATCAGAGAGAATGCCAATGCCACATTGGGTTAATCAATAATATTCCAAGAAACCTTTGGGAGGGGAGCTCTACAAATCAATATATGCAGCTGTTTAACTGGTATCAGTTACCTATTGCAGATACAGTTATTTCACCGCATCCAATACAGAGTTTTGTTGCGTTTAGTCTGTTTATTAGCTTTAAAGTCCACATGAAAAGTCTGCATGAAGTAATGATGCTGAAAATTCAGCTTTGTCTTAAATTCTTCATTTTCAAATGTTCAAACCCTCAACTCAAGGTTTTAAGATGTAAAATCCTTTATCAAATCACAAGTTTAAGGTTGAGCTCCAGTCCTTTCAAAATTATAATAATAATAATAACACAAAACTACTGAAGACACAACACCAATCAGTGCAGCTATTTGCAGACTAGCCATCCGGAATCTACCTCACCCTGCATAGTTCAAACAAGTGGAAAAACAAACGGCAGTGGAAAAACAAAGAAGTCACACCCACTCATCCAAGCAGACACAAATATTCCTCTGCGTACACACCTTTTATGTCCCTGTGGATTTTCTTCTCACAGTGCAGGTAGTCCAAACCTTTCAAAATCTCCTTCAGCATGGTGGCTCTACAAATCAATATATGCAGCTGTTTAACTGGTATCAGTTACCTATTGCAGATACAGTTATTTCACCGCATCCAATACAGAGTTTTGTTGCGTTTAGTCTGTTTATTAGCTTTAAAGTCCACATGAAAAGTCTGCATGAAATCAAAACAAGGTTATTTACGGGAGTTGGGGAGGGATAGATTGTCTGACGCATGTGCATATGTTCAAGGGCACCTTTATGCACTAGAAAGCCATATCCTGCTTGCTGTCAATTACACACACACACACACACACAGTTGAATGAGTATATAAACATGCATAATGTTTCATGGTTGAAGTAAAATACAATGGCAATCACAGGCTTCATTGAACAGGATTTGCGTGGTGAGAAACATGCACTTTGCTTGACCCTCATCGGTATTTCAGTTTTTCTCTTCTAAATGCTCCACAAAGGCATAATTTGGAATGTAACATAAATTTGATAATGAAACTATTGACAGGTGGCTGTTTTCAAACACTTCCCTTCCCAACACTTGATAAATTCCACCATCAATCTGTGTCTGAAGTTGGGGACTTATCCAATATAGTGAAATCCATATTCACAATATATGGAAAAGGGAGCAAATTTCAGGCAGTGTAAACATACTTGCCATCAGAGCATTGTGAGAAACCTGGAAAATGGTATTACCAGTGTTTAACGGTTTAAATCGGTCAGACAAGTCCTTGACTGCATGAAGATTGGAGATTGTAGCTCACTTAGGGTGCTTTCACACCTGTAGATCGATTGCTTTGTTCCGAAACAGGGATTAAAATTATTACAATGTTGCTTTTTATTCTTGGTGCGGTTCGCTTTCACACGGCAAAGTTTCTAAATGGACCAAATTTGCTAATACAAGTCACGCGCGAGTAAACTGTTCTCTCATTGGTCAATGTTTCACGGTTTATTTTCCGGGATTCCACCGCTGTCACAGCTGTCATCCGTCAGGATGGAACGTCAACAGCTTTGCGGGCTTTTTTATTTTATTTTGAATGGCGAAGACGTGCTCACCCACAGACATTCACAGGTTCATTTTGAAGTATTAGCAAAACAACAAAGCTAATTCTTTTCACGGAATTTACGTAATTACCCATTATATATTGTGATATAGCCTGGTTCGTTGGTCCGTTAGATCAAGATTGCTTTCTCACTACAACCGAACTGCTCCAGAGCTCGTTTTCAATCGAGCCGAGACCACCTCGTTCAGGCGATCTCGGACCGATTGTTTTGGCGCGGATCCGAGCGCGATTGCCATGTTCACATATGCCCAAACGAACCGAGCTAAGGGGGAAAACGCGCCAGGTTCCGAAACAACAGGCCAGGTGTGAAAGCACCCTTACTGAACTGCAATAATTTCACCTATGTCTGTTTTGAAGAACATTCAGTGAAACTGAAGGTTCATGAAACTTGAATCAATGTATTTACTGGATTATCCAGGCATTTATATTGAATAATGATAGGCCTATATAGTTTCTCTTAAGTTTCCTATAAACATTTTTTAACCCTTGTGCATCCTTAGTGTGTTAATGCAAACAGCATACATTTAGTCAAAAAAAGTGTATTTTTATTGTAATGTAAATATTTTACCATCAATTCCTTTCATAAATCTATTTTACACTGGGCACAAAAAATTGCACTCAGAACCTTAAGGAAAAAAAATGTTTCCACGGACACCCATTAAAACATTTAAATTATTTAACACCGGTGCCATTTAAGCATTAAATCATGCATCCTTTGTTAATAGCCTTTTATTCTGTTGGTGAGCCTTCAAAATTTACAATTTTTAAACATTTTTACTATTTACCACCTGATAGATAGTTTTGTGCTTCTGCTGAAAAACTGAATTGAAATTATGGAATTATTGGTATGGATATCAAGAGTGTGTTCTGTATGTGAGTGCTGAGAAATATGTGTGTGAGTGTGTATGTGTGTGTGTGTGTAAGGTAGTTTAAAATAATCTGACACTGCACAAAAATAATAATGCATCAGAATGAATGTTTTTCCTAATCGGCGTTCTGACTTTTTGACATTGTCCTCTAACTTGTTTAAATTGACACACAAGGGCTAATTATGGTGCAATGTATTTCACTGTTGAAATGACATGACCTGTGGTGTTTCACTAAACATCGGTGTGAATCCTCACGCTCACTGGTCTTTGTATATATTCTAGTAGCATAATGTTGTTTGTAAATGCAAGGAGTAAAAATAAGTCATTGGAAACACTTACTATCATGCTTTACTAGTGGAGACAAGAAGAAACGCTCTGTAGCAATAAGACAGAAATTTTTTTTTAAAAGCGAGTGCAAACATGTGTGTCCAACACAAGGTATAAATATTTGATGATGGAGAAAATCATGAGAATGGACGCCCAACAAAAACGTTTTTGGACAGGTAAGATAATTAATTATTGCGTAGACTACTCTCTAAATCTCACTAGCATCAGTGTAATTTACAAAAAACTCAAAGATAATCATGCAGATCCACATCTATAGATGGCAGTGCAGCATCTAATGTCATTGAGGCATTACCACTTAATGCACCTTTTTAAAACTGACTAGTTTAAAGCTGATTTCTTTGCAATTTGGGCTTAAAAGACCATTAATATTTAGTAATATTGTCGATTCAACTGCACTGATGCTATCAGATGAGAACAAAACTTGAGCTGAATAATGACTAACTCTGCAACATTGACACTCATTCATTTGGAAATTGACTTAAGGACCTTTTTTTTTTTTTGTTTTCCAAAAACATGCACATTGTGATATCGTCTGCAACCAAATATGAAAGAATATGAAAATATGGCTTTTGCTTGTATCTCTCACCCCAAATACTGCATTTATGACATGTTTGATAATAGTTGGTTAACCTTTTTAACTGGTTAACCGTTTAAAAGAATTCACCAAAATTTGCATCCATAATTGCAGTCTACCAAAATTCTAAGAATACCATGATACTTTTTAGCTTGAATTGCAAATTCAGATAATGTGCAGTGACAGGTTTTGTGGTAAAATAATTTATTTAAACACCGAACGTGGCTTGTATAGTTAGATTTCACATCCAATTAGACTGGTCTTTGGGCATCTCCAATGCGGTTTAGATCCAGTGAAGCAGCAGTGATGAGCCATACCCTGCTCCACCGTCTGTGTCCTTCTGATAAACCGCTGTGCACAGACCGGTACGTTAATGACCAGGCTATCTGTATGTTAACAAGCTCGCAACAAGCGTGTGAACGTACCCCACAAGATTTATCAGCTGGATGCATTTCCCCCACTATACAAACACATGAACTGGCAACAAAGAGGTACACCTCAGGGGCTGCGGAAATGCATTTGGGAAAACATACCAAGTGCACATGGGTACGATCTACATGACACAACAAGCTGTCATCGTGTTCCTTCAGACTTTCGCTGTACCTGACTCGGGTGTTAACCACGGGAAACCAGCGCTCGAAACACTTCCTTGCAGGCCACACCCGCCTGAGAACGACACTCCTTCATACTTCTGGAGCTATAACAGAATGAATGGACAATTGTATCGCCTATTTAGAATAATTGCACTTTAAACCCCAGGCAGACTCACAAAATAAACATTAAAAAGGTGTCACAAGTGTAACATTAATGAGCAAAGTTACCCACCTCTGTTACCCATCTGCTGTGCATAATGATTAACAATACCACCCAGCTGTCATAGCAGAGAAGTCAACGTACGTGTGTGTGTGTGTGTGTGTGTGTGTGTTATTCCAGGAAGGAGCACATGCTTAGTTGTGGTGTTCTGGATCAGTGACATTTCTGACCTCCGTCTGCTATCAAAAAAGGAACAGAGCTGAAGTTCTAATACGCCGCCAACCAAACACGGCTTGATTCCAAGCGTCTACCGAGTGTGAAGTTGAGACAGCGGCCACAAAACGGAACCACATTCACACTTCCTGTGCTGCAAGGAAGGCTGTCACACAAAACAGCTTAAAACACAAGGATTACCTCACTGTCCTAGATCACGAGCAGCAAAAGCAGACTCATTATGCTTTATAAAGAGAGACGGGAACAAGAGTGAGTGCTAGCACACCTTTAGGGAGCAGATGCCACCTTATACACAAATATCTGCTCCATCATTAGACCAGGAGCATAGAGATATCCAAATATAGACTGATCCGGACCACAAATCAGCTCATAGTGACTAAGCCATCCATTCAGTCATATACACAAATAAATACACTTCGAATCCATTAATATGCTCCTTAATGCAACATACTGGAAAACAGCTCAAGGAAATAATTAGATATCAGATGCCTGTTGCTCATTGGTGTTTCTAATTTCTGAAACATATAATGATGCTATAATTAATATAAAAACATAATGCTACTAAACATGAGTCACCAATCATTTTAATATTTCCCATGTAGCAGTAACTACAGTAGAAACTGTCACATTTTTATAAATCAGAATGACATTAGATATCATGAGCTCAAATTCAAATGTCCAGTAAACTGTGTAGTGTGAACTGCATATTAATATTAAAAACAAAATCAATGTCTGTTTTGTATTACTTAACTTGGAGAAATTTACTTTTTTCATAATCTAGCATTGTAATTTGTGACCCTGGAACACAAAACCAGTCGTAAGTAGCACCGGTATATTTGTAGCAACAGCCAACAATACATTGTATGGGTCACAATTTTTGATTTTTCTTTTACGCCAAAAATCATTAGGATATTAAGTAAAGATCATGTTCCATGAAGATATTTTGTACATTTCCAACCGTAAATATCAAAAATTAAGTTTTGATTAGTAATATGCATTGCTAAGGACTTCATTTGGACAATTTAAAGGGGATTTTCTCAATATTTTGAGTTTTTTTTGCACCCTCAGATTCCAGATTTTCCAAATATTGTCCAATCCTAACAAACCATACATCAATGGAAAGCTTATTTATTCAGCTTTCAGATTATGTATAAATCTCAATTTTTTAAAAACTGACCCTTATGACTGGTTTTGTGGGCCATGGTCACATTTGACAACAGTTTATAACAACTTCCATCGTCGTCCTACACAACACATTTAACTTGAACAGATACAAGTATGCCATAACAAAAAGAGCATCGCTAAATTACTATTGCGCAGGTATCAGATTATAATTTACATTTACTCATTTACATCGGTAGTAGATAATTACCATATGCGTGTACCATGGCACTTTAAATAATCTAAAAGAATACAGTGGTACGTGCACAAAAACATGGCTTTTCTATAGTACAATTTTAAAAATTGAATTGAAAAGTTGTTAAAGAACTGACAGAGGCGAATGTAAAGATGCAACATGGATGAGTAATGCAGGTTAGCCTATGATTATGATGGCCTGGCGTTACCTTTCCACACAAACTCACCTGCATTCCAGGAACTTGAACAGCTACCGGCGACTGAGCCATCTCCACCCGTCCACAGACACACTACACAGCGAATAAACTCTCGGAGAGACACTTAAAGAGTTATTTTTCTCACACTACTTTGTATTAAATTACATGTATTACTATATTTACACTCTATTCACACTGTTCGCCAAACTCTTGAGCTAGCTGCGCTCTGCTAGCTTTAAAGTCGACACTTGGTGACCATAATTCCTTCGTCAGGCGGACTTTTTGTTGTTTGTATGAGATCCAGACGGTCGTCGGTGGCTTGTTACACGCTTTTGGCGAGAGTTTGCGCAGAGTTTGTTCTTCAGGAGATCCTCTTTGCCGCCATGACTCGCGCAGCGCTCGCGGAGTTGTTTTGTGCTCAGCTCTGGCAGTTGGGTGGAGCACGCGGACACTGCGTCACTAACGCTGCTGCCGCCATCAGGAGCTTCACCACACACTGTGAACTGCTCGGGGTGGACTTTCCAATTTTGTTAAAAAATATTTATGTTTAAACTTCTGTATAACCCCAAGAAATGCGTTTTTGGTTACTCGTTGAATCTAGACCCTTCTCGCTTTAAATTTATTAATTTATTGCTATTTCTTGCCAAATTTTACATTCATAAACAGTGTTGGGGGTAACGCATTACAAGTAATCAGTAATCAGATTACTTTTTTTCAAGTAACTAGTAAAGTAACGCATTACTTTTTAATTTACAAGAGAATATCTGAGTTACTTTTTCAAATAAGTAACGCAAGTTACTTTTTTTTCCAATTTATAGATTGACAGCTCTGCTGTTGCCATGGTGAGAGAAATCAGATGTTACTGTAGTTCTAAAATAAATATGAATATGCATTAATTCATCTCACTCACTCACACAAAAAAAAACACAGATTCAGTATTCCTCAAAATGAATAAAAAAAATGCAACTCAGAATATGACGCAAACCTGCAATAATTAAATGTTAAGCAACACAAATATGCTTTATGTATTTAATCCCATTCTATTTGTTTCTGACCTTCGATGATCCAGTTCAACCGTACGAATAAGTACAAATTACTCTAGACAAACATTCGTGTCTTTTTTTATTGCTGAAGTGTGTTGAAATTTCTTCTTCTGCATTCTACTGTACGGACGTAAATTTACTTTCCCTTCAGCCTGAGGCTTATTCATTTCACTTTTGGTGTGAAAAGGCTTTTATATTTGCCAAAAATAGAACTTTTTTATTTTAAAAACAAACAAGCAAGCCCTGTCCAGATTTAAAAAGTAGCGCAAAAGTAACGTAACGCATTACTTTCCATAAAAAGTAACTAAGTACCGTAATTAGTTACTTTTTTATGGAGTAACGCAATATTGTAATGCATTACTTTTAAAAGTAACTTTCCCCAACACTGTTCATAAATGCACATTTTCAAAGAAAACTCTTTTTTTTTTTTAAAAAAAAAGATACTTAAGATTTAAGAAACTCTAATAATTTTATTGCATGTAAGACTCTTTCATGATGTGTATTCTTATAAGCTAACATAGTATGCTATGGATTAATGTATGTAACCCTCATTGTCTTTTGTTCTTATTCTGTCTTTGTATTTGTATATCTTGTTCTTTTGTTGCATAATAATAATAATAATAATAATAATAATAAAAAGCTTCACCACACACATTTCTCCATGCTGTTGCCTTGATATAGCCTATTTACAGTTGATGTCAAAAGTTTACATACACCTTGCAGAATCTGCAAAATGTTAATTATTTTACCAAAATAAGAGGGATCATGCAAAATGCATGTTATTGTTTATTTAGTACTGAGCTGAATAAGATAGTTCACATAAAAGATGTTAACATATAGTCCGCAAGAGAAAATAATTTATAAAAATTACCCCGTTCAAAAGTTTACATCCCCTTGATTCTTAATACTGTGTTGTTACCTGAATGATCCACAGCTGTGTGTTTTTGTTTAGTGATAGTTGTTCATGAGTCCCTTGTTTGTCCTGAACAGTTGTCCTGGACAGAAAAATCCTTCAGGTCCCACAAATTCTTTGGTTTTCCAGCATTTTTGTGTATTTAAACCATTTTCAACAATGACTGTGTGATTTTGAGATAATCTTTTCACACTGAGGACAACTGAGGGACTCATATGCAACTATTACAGAAGGTTCAAACGCTCTCTGATGCTCCAGAAAGAAAAACCATGCATTAAGAGCCGGGGGCTGAAAACTTTTGAACAGAATGAAGATGCGTACGCTCTGTCTTCAACTCTTTTATTATAAAAAGATAAGTGATAAACTTTTATGCTCTCTCTCTTAAGAGAGGTAAGAAGGGGGAAGATGTCCCCCTGAAGGACAGTGTGGATTTACTTTTAGATTTTATACAATTTAGATGTTTGATGTCAATTATTAAAAAAGGGGGAAATTGCATATCAGATTCCAAAAATTAAGAAATTCACAATACTTTCATAATTTACCGATTCTCCCTAATTCCTCTTTTCCATCTTCCTTTCTAAAGTAGCCTACCGCTTACATATGAAAGTCTTCCAGTTTGGACATTCACACAAAGACCAGTCACTAGTCAGGTAAATATAATTACACAGACAATTGAGACGCCACACTGCATTTGACCGCTGGATTTACAACTGAGGAGACTGGAAAAAGCGTAGCGCCAGACACAAGCCCAACTCCAATGAAGTTCATAAACTTCTGGCGGTGCCTAGATCCGAAAATAGTTCAAACATAAAAAAACATAAGATCCGCACACAAAAAAATAGGCCAAACTGCTCGTATAAATGTATTATCCAGAGGCCACAAATAAAGTGCAAAGGTACAAAATGTGCAAATCGTTTTCGGACTTGACCCTTGTGGCACTGATTAAGGGTTAAGCCCGAAAACGTTTTGCACTTTATTTGTGGCCTCTGGATAATATACAGTGGGTACGGAAAGTATTCAGACCCCCTTCAATTTTTCACTCTTTGTTATATTGCAGCCATTTGCTAAAATCATTTAAGTTAATTTTTTTTCCTCATTAATGTACACACAGCACCCCATACTGACAGAAAAACACAGAATCGTTGACATTTTTGCAGATTTATTAAAAAAGAAAAACTGAAATATCACATGGTCCTAAGTATTCAGACCCTTTGCTCAGTATTTAGTAGAAGCACCCTTTTGATCTAATACAGCCAAAAATTGAAGGGGGTCTGAATACTTTCCGTACCCACTGTATTTATATGAGCAGTTTGGCCTATCTTTCTTACCTGTTTCTTGACCCGTGGATTTACAGAAATCATTTCACTTTTAAGAAGCGTTTTCTCAACATTGATGAACACTTTCATTTTTATTTCAATCAGTAGATTATTCAACCATGTATTACTGTCTTTGGGAGGCTTTCGTCTTTCAAACACATTAAAATGCACAAATTCACTTTATTTCTTAATTTACATTTAATGCAGGGATTCCCAAACTTTTCATCTGAACCTCTTTTTCAGGTAAACAAACTAAATATATCAGTTTTTAGTGTTTTATTTTGATTGGTTAGATTTTAAAATTATTTTAACGTTTATGATTTAATTATTAGCTTTTCATTAAACTCACAAACCCCCTGCAGTTCCTTTACGAACTAGTTTGGGAAACCTTGACATAATGTAATGTTTAATGCACTTCATGTTTGTTAATAACAATGAATGGAATATATTTTCTTCTTCTTTGTATTGTTATATCAAGATGGTACAAGATTATCCTGTTTAAATCAATGTGATAAACGAATAATCCAAAACTACTAGTCCGATTATATTACCTAGAATGTGTAATGTAATGGATTATGTTACTAACTACAACTTTTGTTGCGTAATTTGGAATCCGTAACGGACTACAATTTTAAAGTAACTTAAGCGCTGTTGATATTTACGTATTTTTAAAGTGTCATAAAAAAAAGTTTTTCGTAAAAAAAAAAAAAACTATTTCATTTAAAATGTTATTTTGACAATTTAGTTGAATAATTGAATAACCAACGACAGAAAAAATTGAATAGCACACGATTGACGGCAGAAAGAGCTGCAAGTTACTACTATACTGAATACTTGAATAAACTCCTGACCCTAAGTGTGAGCCTTAGCAAGCACCCGTCATTCAAAAAGGAAACAATAATATATGTGATAAATGCAAGATAATGGATAATTCCAAATTTGAAACGTGAAAAGATTCACACAGCTTTTGCATGATAACATTTTAATGTGAGGCACTGTCGAGAGCTACGGTATGTCTTGCCTTTACAAAGGAATGGACACACTGGACGTCGAGAGTGGTAAATGTGTACAGTGGGGAATGAAACCGTAATATTGGTCCACATCCACATTTCTATGGCTATTCACTCAGACCAGCTGAGAAAGTGAATTAAGTAAATGTCTGCTAGCCATTGAACAAGAGGGCAATATTTCATATGGTCTTGCATGACAGTATCCAACATAAAAATACAAGTTTTCAGATCTGGGTGTAGGATATAGGCAACATACTGCAACTGGTCAACACTTAAATAGCAATTAAAAGGGGATTAAAAGAAAACTGTTACTGTAAGAGGCCAACTCAATGGACTGAAATGACAGAGAACATACAGGTAGTGGTTATATTTTCAAGAAAGGTTACCTACTAACTGTACGGGGTGTGAAGTCAATATGTATCACACTGGAGTGAAAGTCTGGAGAGTTCTGCATTGAAAACATCAATCTTCTAATGGTTTTCATTGGCTAGCCTCAGTCACATATGGTAGCAGCCTATCAGATGAAGAAATGATTGACGTAAATAACGCTTTTATACCAATGATTTTCTTCCACAGAAAAGGCTGCAATCACAGTGGAAATGAGGAACCGTCGTGTATTCCCACAGAGAAAAATCTCGCAGATTCAGAACGAATGTTTGGATGTAGCTAAGACCGACGGATGAGTAACTGAATGCCTACACCACACATGGATTTAAAATACAGAAAACACACAACTGGTAAAAAACGAAACACTTTGCTTATTTACAGATTACAGTCTCTCGGCGAGTCCTTTGACTTTGAGTTGTCTGGAAAGTTCAAACATCCGCTCCAGAAGGCAACAGGTCCCATCTATGGATTTTACAGACACAAGGCTATGGTATACAAAACGCTTGGGAGCCAGTATTTGAGCTCAAGAGTCTTTCCTTAAGAGTCTCAGGAGAAGCATCTGTGTAGATTGGATTTTTCTTCGTAAATGGTACATCCTGAAGCGGAGCCCAGCACATAGTGCTATACGGTTCATGAACAGCCGAACAAGGACAGAGTTTTGAATGTTAGTCCGGCATGTCGATGCACAGTTTGGGAGGCGGCACAAAGTATTTCCCAGGACTTTGGGTGACCACCACACCCGTCTTCTTACGAAGCATGGGAGGGATTTTAGGCACCTCGTGGATGGGCAATTCCTCGGACACCTCGGAGTCCTCGTGGTGCAGGTCATAGGATATGTTGCCATACTCCCTCAGGAAGGGGAAGAGTTCGAGAAGAAACTGGCAGAAGTCTTTCCGAATGCCGAACCACCCTGATACAGAGGGAAATGAGAGCTCAAGTCAACACTGAAACAAAATACAGTACATTATCATTTCCTTTTGCATGATTTTTTCATTTAAAGGCACAATATGTAAGATTTTTTTATTAAAATATCCAAAAACCACTAAAACAGTGCTATATATTTTGCTGACTTGTGTACTTACATTATCCCAAATGTTTCGAAGAATGTTTAAAGGGGTCATATGATGTTGCTAAAAAGAACATTATTTTGTGTATTTGGTGTAATGAAATGTGTTTATGCGGTTTAAAGTTCAAAAAACACATTATTTTCCACTGTACATTATTGTTTCTCCTCTATGCCCCGCCGTTGAATCATCAGTGGCAACGAAAAACACAGCGGCCTAGCGTGAGCTGAGGCGGGCTGGACTCCGCTTTGTCCACAGTAAAAGTTGATGTATTTCCTCAGCGACCAGCACGGATCAGCTCCAGGCATGACGAAGCGGATATCGTCCTCTTTT